CCCTGAGGTTCTGCGTGGACTATCGCCGGCTGAACGCAGTAACAAAAAAGGACGTCTACCCACTGCCGCGCATCGACGACATGCTGAACCGGCTACGCCACGCCCGATACTTTTCTTTGATGGACCTGAAGAGTGGGTACTGGCAGATAAAGGTTGACGAAAGGGATCGTGAGAAAACTGCGTTCGTCACGCCGGACGGACTGTACGAATTTAAAGTGATGCCGTTCGGACTCTGCACTGCACCGGCGACCTTCGAGCGCGTAATGGACACCGTCCTATCCGGCTTCAAATCGCAAAGCTGTCTTGTCTACCTCGACGACATCGTGGTATTTGCAAGCGACTTCGAAGAGCACCTGAGACGCGTGGGAGCCGTTCTACAGGCTCTCCAGAGTGCTGGACTGACACTAACGCCATCAAATTGTCGGTTTGCTAACGGCAAGCTCAAATTCCTGGGCCACGTCGTGAGTGCTCAAGGTGTAAGCCCAGACCCTGACAAGACATCCGCTATCACCGACTTTCTGAAGCCATTAGACAAGAAAGCCGTACGAAGATTTCTTGGGCTGCGTGCTTACTACAGACGTTTCGTTCGCGATTTCGCCAAAATTTCTGCACCGCTCACGCATCTAACGAAGGACGACGTGGACTTCCGGTGGGGGAAAGAGCAAGAACAAGCGTTCAACGAACTGAAGGAAAGACCCCAGTCGCTGCCCATCCTCGGACACTTCGATCCATCAGTGGAAACCGAAGTTCACACGGACGCCAGCAACGCCGGACTTGGTGCGGTACTCGTCCGAAGACAAGAGGGAGCAGAGAGGGTGGTCGCTTACGCAAGCCGCGCGCTGTCGAAGGCAGAGCAAATTTACTCAACGACCGACAAGGAATGCCTCCCTGTCGTCTGGGCGTTAACCAAGTTCCGCCCGTACCTTTATGGAATCCCGTTCAGCATTGTCACGGACCACCACGCTCTCTGTTGGCTCGCCAACCTCAGGGACCCGTCAGGACGCCTCGCTCGCTGGAGTCTTCGACTGCAAGAATTTGACATAACCATTGTGCATAAGTGTGGCCGCAAGCATAACGACGCCGACAGTTTCTCTAGGGCCCCAGTCGAATCCCCTCCTGACAGCACTGACGACGAGGATGGCGCCCGTTTTCTCGGCGCAGTTACCGATACCGACATGGGAGCACTTCAAAGCGACGACCCGGAACTTCGCGCCGTGATCGACTACCTCGAAGGTCAAGGAAGTCCAGTCCCGCAAGTCTTGGCCAGAGACTTGGCAAGCTTCATTTTGCGGCAAGGCGTGCTCTTCAAGAAGAACTTCGGAACCAGCGATCCGGCTTGGCTGCTGGTTGTTCCTTCCAGCCTGCGAGAAGAAATCTTTCAAGGACGCCACGACGACCAGACGGCTGGACACCTTGGCTACAGCAGGACGCTCACCCGGATTCGTGACAAGTACTACTGGCCGAGACTCCTGAAAACCGTCCATCTGTACACACGGTCGTCCCATGAGTGCCAGCGACGTAAGAAGCCTCCAACGAAGCCAGCAGGAGTCCTGCAGCCGATATCTGCCCCGACTACTCTCTTCCAGCAGGTCGGAATGGGCTTACTTGGGCCGTTCCCAACATCGACGCACGGAAACCGATGGATTATTGTCGAGACCGATTATCTTACACGATACGCCGAGACGAAAGCCCTTCCATCCGGCACAGCGGTTGATGTCGCCAAGTTTTTCGTCGAGTCCATTCTCCTTCGACACGGCGCACATGAAGTGCTCATCACAGATCGAGGATCAGCTTTCATGGCCCAGCTTATGCAAGAAATCTTTCGTCTCAGCCACACCAGCCATCGTCGCACCACGGGGTACCACCCGCAGACAAACGGGCTGACGGAGAGACTCAACAAGACCATCGCCGACATGATCTCCATGCACGTCGACGTGGAGCACAAGACATGGGACGAGGTGTTGCCGTACGTTACGTTTGCGTACAACACATCAGTTCAAGAAACGACTGGAATGACGCCGTTCCAACTGGTACACGGCCGGACGATTACCACGATGCTCGACGCCATGCTGCCTGACGTGCCTACCGACGATGGCAACGACGACGCTCAACTGATCTCTCAACGCGCCGAGGGAGCTCGTCAACTGGCCAGAATCAAGATTCAAGACCAGTAGCGAGTCGACGCACGCCGGTATAACCTTCGTCGCAGGGATGTCCACTTGCAAGCCGGAGACCGGGTATGGGTGTCGACACCGATACGGCGCCGCGGTCTCAGCGAAAAACTGATGAAACGCTACTTTGGCCCTTACAAGATCATCCGACGCCTCGACGATCTGAACTACGAAGTTCTACCCGACGGAACGCGCCCATCTGCAAGACGCCAGCCACGACCCGAGGTGGTGCACATCGTCCGGCTCAAGCCGTATTACGAACGATAGAACTCTGGACGTTCGTCAGAGAGTGAACTGTTAAGTGTGACTCGCGAGTCTGCTATCATTTTGCTGTGGATCTGTGTTTTCGTTTTGTGCTGCATCGGGACGATGCACTTTTTTTAAAGGGCGGGATAATGCCGCGAGCGCAGCTCACCAAAAAGGCAGCGCGCTTTTGGTCTAACGGTTATCGCACGTGCTTTCCACGCAGAAAGCAAGGGTTCGACTCCTGGCCGCGGAGGCGCATTTTTGTTGAGTCTGTAAAGTAATGTTCTGGTAAATTTGAGAACCATGTTGGGCTTGTTCGAGGTCAGAAAGTTCTACACGCCGAACCTTCTATGCCGATTATTCCAGAAGCCCACACGTGTACATATGGGGCTCCGAGTGGCGATTTGCAGTCAGTCTCGCTCCCGTGCTCGATCCTGCGGTTTCGCCGACATCGACGCCCACGACGCTCTACTGTTTTCTTCTGTTCCCTTTTTGTTTTGTTTAGTTTGGGCACAAGTTCGCCCCAGTAAACGTTAATTTCCTAATGTTTATTTACTGTTGTCGAATCACCACCCGTCAAAAGTTTTGTTTAGGGCGCGGTCGACAAAATCGAAACTAGCCGCTCGAGGCCCCGGCAACACTGGACATCAGTCGCTAGGTGGACTTCACGTTATCGTCGTTGTCGTTCAACCAAGTGTTTTAACGAGTATGCGGTCCAAGCGGCACCTACGTCTGTTGCGCTAGCCGTTTAAAGATAAAGGTAAGTTGATTCCGTTTTAATTCTGTATGCGTGGTAGATATCCACCATATGTAGCAAGAGATAGTGCATATACCCAAAATCTAGCGACTGGCAGGCGAGTTAACTCGCTCGGTGTCGATGTAGGATGCCAATCTCACTACCCCTCTGCTTCGACTACAGTAGTGGGTATGGCGTACGCCAAATTGGATACCGTAGTCGTTTATTTCGCTAAAACGGCGGAAGTAACTTTCTGCGGCAAAATACCCTATTGTTTGTTGCTGTTTGTATGAGCGGTGGAACGCGCGCACAGCAGGCGTTGATTAACTTTTTGTGAAAGTTAATAAATTAATTAAGTTTGAAAGACCTAATTTGCGAAAATATCAAAGAAAAGGCTTGCCGCACTCGTAAGAAACACAAAAAAAAACTTGTGATTGGAGCTAGTTAGTGGTTGTAATCTGCATGCCCACCATTCCCCATTCAACGGAGCGTGAACGCTCCATGTTCAACACTGCATTTGACGATGACTGCTTTATTGATCTGCATACTTTTATCATGTTTACCTTTCGTGTAGGACATACCACTTTGTAATGCGAAGTTCATTGCTATGTTGGCTGCATGTTTTACCTTACGTCTTCACTCTGGTTCAGCTGGAATCATCCTTTTCACTAATTTAATGCAGAACAGATATTGGCAACCCACAAATGTTGCTTTCTTTATGCCTCTGCCTCCTTTCTCCACATGGGATAAAGAAAGCTTTTTATTTTGAATCCCTGCATCAAGGTCGTGTGCAAATTTCCAAACTGGGCGGGCTTTTTTTTTTTTTTTTTTCAGCAGACACGTTGTTTAGTGAAGACATCGAAGGCGACGATAGCTGGAGCCTTAGCCGATGTGCACATGACCCACTGCCACATGCTGACGAAATTCGCAGGAAGTGTGCTTCTTCGGTGTGCGAGTGCGCCACCGAGTTACCCACTAAATTGAGCCTTGCAGTCCTCACAAGCAAATAAACAAAAGGCTATGCTGAAGCTGCACGAACTATAGATCAAGCAACGGCTAAACACACCAAGCACCAGCCGAAGCAGAGGCGGCAGTGTCTCAAAGAAGCGCACTTTCCCCGCTCGATTACGCAACAAATAAGCCCGTCCGGACCAGGAAAAAAAAAAATGATCATGACGTCACCGCCCAAGGTTGCTTTAGCGATCGGTTACCCACTGGCGGTCCTCTAAGGAGCGGCTGCTCGCAGCGGGTCGCATTTTTATTATCGGCATTAGTTGACAATGCGGCGTCCCCTTTACGCAATATTTTGGCTGGGGTCGTATTGTGTGTCACTAAAGCGATACCAATAATTTGTTTCCTATTAAATTTTGGCCGGAGTTGCCCTTTAGGTTCGAAATAAATTATTTTATTTTTGCCAAGAAATGGCAACGCAGATTTGGTACAATACCTTTTGTTGACATCACACTAGAAGCCGAGAATTGGCTCAGCACGTTTTCAGAATGTTGACATCTGAGATATTTTTTTCCGTCGATAATCGCTGCGCTACTTACCCTTACATTAGCTGTCAGGTTTTCAGTTATAAGTGCAACATTTTCAAGTCCCAATCTCACCGACAGATGGGGCAGTTTGTGAGCAGCCGTTGGCCACACGCAGCTCTTTGCCTGGCCACGGCATGGAACCAGTCAGTGAAATATCAAGAGTGAAGGGCGAGGGAAATTAAGGGTTGGAAGGAGGAAGTTGGTGGAAGGCTGGAGAGGGGGAATGCTTCCTCCTCTCCACCCCTCCTTTTTCTCGCCTTTCGTTCTTGAACTGTCATTGGCTATAGGCATACACATAAATTATTTCACCTGAACTTCAGCAGCATTGCCGGGAAGCACTACAGGCTCTCCCTGGGCTGGCGGTGCGGCTGGCACTTGCTCTTGTACTTCGATTTCTGGATCCGCCAAAACTGGCGGTTCTAGAAGCTGTTGTGCTGGGGCTTCTGGAGCCAGGACTGGTTGTGGCAGGACTGGTTGTGGCAGAACTGGCGGTGGCAGGGCTTTCGGTACTGGTGCTTGTTGTGCCGAAGCTAGTTGTGGGGGGACTAGTGGTGGCAGGACTGCCCGTAGTGGAACTGGCTGAGGCAGGACTGGCGGTACCAGGGCTTGCGGTACTGGTGCTTGTGGTGCCGAAGCCAGTTGTGGGGGGACTATGGTTGGCCGGACTGGCCGTGGCAGGACTGGCTGTACCAGGTATGGTGGTACCACGACTGATGGTCTTGGGCTGGCGGAGTCACCTGCTTGATTTGAAACTTTCAATTAGATCCCCTGTTAAACTTGTGCCCCATAAAGTATCTGTGTGAAGTCTACGATGCTGAACCTTTTTATAAACATCCCACTTACTAGTCTCGAAAAATGAATCTGAGAAACAGGAAGCCTCGGGAATAATGTCCACTCCCGGCAGTACGGCTGGGCGGGCAACCAGCAGGTCTGCAAATGTATTTCCTCTTTACATTACCGAGCAAGAAACACAAAAAAATCGCCCCTTAGTAGGCAGGGGCTACTTGCAAACCGAGCTGATGCATGTACCGATCACCAGCCATCAGCGGACTGTAAGCCATATGCAAAAAGAGACTGCTCAAAAAATTTACAGTGCAAACACCCCAAGTTTCATATTAATGAACACCGAGTCCATAAAAGGCACACAAATATCATTCATAAACCTTTTACAGTAACAGCTGCCTTTTGTAAGTTTTGTGGGGCTTGCAATGGGGGGGGGGGGGGGGGGGTCATCTGCTGTCGAGCGTAGCCAAAGTCAACCGCGCACGCATGGGCTTTCTGCAAGGTGCACGGGAGACCTCTGTGCGAGGAGGAAAGGTTTCTGTCGTGACCCTCGCTTTGTTTGTCGTCTGCCCGATTTCACCGTTCTGGGCAATTCGAGTTGAGGGCTCCAAAAGCCAGTGTGGCTCGCGACAACCGTCCAGAGGAAGCCTATTCACTGCAGACAAACAGCACAGTGAAGATGGTTGAAAAAACCCCGAGACTGTGGGTAAACAACACAACACCAAAAAATCTAGAGACTTTTTAGTGTTGTGTCGTTTGCCCACAGTCTCAGGGTTTTCTCAACTATGTGCAATGTACACCAGCTCGTTTGCGCCCTTATTTTTTGTTCAAAGTGAAGACCCGTCCCGCACACGCCGAAGTACCACTGCAATTACAGCAACAGCTGCATTAAGGACGTTTTGCGGGGTTTGCAATGTTAGCATCGGCGTCGCGCATAATCGATCTCAGCCGTGAAAGCAGACAACAGCCTGGCTGAATGTCGCCGTCGTAGATCACCCTCCTCGCCGGTGCAAACCTGTGGAGGCCACTATGAGTCTGTCTCGCAGTGGCACCATTACCAACCGTGTTTTAGTAAAGGACATTACGATGTTCATCGAGTGTCCTGCATTCCCAACCTACTGCAGCAATCACGGAGCACTTGTGGCAGTCGTTGATGCCACTACCCACGGCAACGACAAGACCGTTTGCTTAGTAACTGGGTGTCTGCATTCTTACTACCGCTGCAAAAGGACAGCCTTCATCCTTTCTGTCAAGATGTGCGTCAACACAATGCTGCCGCCACACTAAAATAATATAAAGCGGTATGCACATCACTGTCGCCAGACTATGCTCAAACATTTAAATCGCACTGCAGTGAAACATCTGACCACTCTCGCTGTTGGGAATCTTTTAGTTCTGATTAGGGTTGTACGTGTATTAAATGTTTTGTGCAAGAGCTTCAAATACGGTATTCGATATTCGCTGCTATATTTCGCCCATATTTTGGCAAAATGTAGCAGCGCGTAGCAGGGTTAGCCCCTTAGCGCAGTTTGGCGCAGCAGTCACATGACTGGAGTCACTTTCAGGGCGCAATTTGGTGCAAATGGCGCAGCACTTCCGTCACTCCATACAGTTTTGCCATGAATCCCAGCTTTGACCACACAAAAGACGGTCGAGCGTAATTTTTCTTTGAGTGCTGCAGCACTTCAAGCTGGGCGAATACCAAAATAAACTAATTGGCTAGTTATTCAGACACCCGTAGATGCAGACAAGTTCTGCCTTGTCCCGATGTGTCCTAATTTATGTCTTTCATCATATACCCTACTATTTCCATTATCCTGATCATTACAACCATTTGTCCTTAAAAAGTGAACACTCGTACCTGGCTGTAAGAAACCTTCCTTAATGGCAGTTCAAACGAAAAGAACTCTCAAAATCAATGGGCCTAATCTCATCTGCAAAGCACATTTTACCGGAATGGCTGAAGTACCAACTGTATTATGCGCTGATATATACCAAGGTTTATTACCGCTTTCTTGTCTGGGGTCAGACACCAAAGACAAATAAACATATCTGCATTTATTGCAAACAAAAACAAAAATCTGTTCGTCTAATGCACAATTCTGCTTATGATGCACATACAGCTCCGCTTTCTGAAAAGTATAAAATTTTGAGCTTTGAACATCCCTACGTTTATAGATTTCCGCTATACATATTCCATGACCATAGACTCCAACAGCCTAGCTATCCATCTGCATGCACTAGACCCGACCACCATTACAACACTCGAAATGACAAGTATATACTCCCCAAAAGCAGGACAAACATGGGCAGACAAACGCTTTCATTTCAAATTCCAAACTTCCTTAATACACACAGTTATCTTCATACACTTATTAGGTCAAATATATCGCTAAACAGATACAAACGCATAGTGAAAGAAACTCTCTTGGTCACAAATGTTGCAAACTGATCTGAAGTATCTGGTTTTATCCTCTTTGCTATATCTTTTTTTTTAAGGTTTTTCTGTTATAGTAATATAGTATAGTTTTATAGTATAAAAAGTGTGTAGTATATAAATGTCATTGATATGTATATTTTGTTATTCATTATATTTGATTTCAGAGCGTACGTTTTAGTGTGCTCTGCTGTTAACGAGTGTCATTGTCTTTTAATATTTCATTTATGTAGCGGTACCAAGGGCTCGTCAGACCTTTTGGTCTTTTGCCTTGGTACTGCAGACAAAATGTATTGTCTGAACAGACTGAAAAAAAGAAAATGTGGCCTGTCAGGAGATTCCAACTCGGCAAATATAGGGCAGGTGACCTACATTTCCAGCTTGTTTGTAAAACCCTGCAGACATTGCATAGGTGGATTACCATGATAGTATTTGGACTAATTAACCGAAATATGTTAATTAACTTTTTGATTAGTGGTCTCATGGGCCATTTCGCAAGTGCAGTTTTAAAGGCGGCAATTTTAAGAGCTTAGTCACATTGAAACAATTTGCAAAAAGGGAAAGGGCTACGTGATAGTTATCTATCAACTTTTGCATTTTCTTTGAAAGATTCAAGAACCACACGCAGCCACAGTGCAGGATGTGGAGGGCGACGTACCCATTTTGTGCACTTGTCATTACCTCGACGGTCGAATTCGCCAAGAACGCGCTGTCAAGGTGGTGACGAGCCGCCTGAAGCGACTACCGTAAAATTTCCAGGAAGCGCCCCCCCTTCAGCAAAAGCCCCCCCCCCCCCCCCCCCACACACACACAACTTCACAGCTAATTTCACATTTCCACGCCGTTCCGGGAAAGCGCCCCCCCTCCCCGCTCCGCACCCATATCACGCACCGTGCTAACCGCGCCAAGGCAACACTGGCCTTTGAAATTCAGTCCAAGAATCCAATCCAGTCCAACCTTACTTTGCAGCCCTATCGCCACGCGCCACTGTTGCTTTGTTTTGGAGGTGTCAGGTCGGCTATGCATGATTACAAAACGTACACGAGACGTCTCAACACATCAAGCTCGACCGGATACGGGAATGGGACCAGAATTTTGACAGTTTGCTACAGCCAGACTACGAGAAAGCCAAACTTCGACAAAGGCAATTAATGGTGCGCCGGTGTTCAGTGACTACATGGACGATGCGCTCTTTGAACACCTGGAGCCCAAGAGAAGTGCAGAATGAGCCATTAGCAACCAGCTTCTTTCAGAAGAGGCTGTCAAAACAGCCAACGGCATGCAGTTGGAAAACATCGCGGAATGCTGCTGACTTTTTCTTGCGACCGACTCTGAGGAGTCTTTTGGTGGTTTTGAAAGTGAATAACGTAGCAGTGAAAAATCTTTGGCCTAATAAAGTCTATGTTCTCAGAGATAAATAAAATAATAAATCCGTGAGCATGCGCTTTTTTTCTTTTTCTGTCTGAAAAAGTTTGTCGCCATCTTGAATTTTGGTGCCTTTCCGGGATAGCACCGCTCCCCCCCCCCCTTTTCCAGGCAATTTTGACTTGCGTGGGGGGGGGTGCTTACCCAAATTTTGCAGTATTTAACTGTTTTGTGCACTGATTAGTGCGCAACTTCTTGAGCTGTTACAGCGTGTGGTTTTTGAATCAGGTAATGAAAATCCTAAAATTGCACCATCAGCATCTCAAAGCCCCTTGAGTTTTCGCAACTTGTTTCAATTGGGTTAGCCCTTGAAATCACTCCTTTTAAAACTGAAATTTCAACATGGTCTGTTAAACCATTAATTAAAAAATTAACAAATTTTTATCGATTAGCCAAAATATTCCACAATTATCCAGGGTTATCCAATCACCTAATGCCCGCCGAGTCACAGAAACACAGTGAAGATGGAGTCCACGTAGCAGTGAGCGCCATTTTTTGACAAAATATTTTGATTGAAAAATATTTCCTAAATAACAGACAAATATTTAAAAACAAAAGGGACCTACATGCGCCTCTAACTGAGGAGGGAACTTGTCCGTTTCTCCTATTGTACCCAGTCTCAGTGGCACCGACGGGCTCCTAAAGGAAAGAAGCGTACCGATCCTGTCCAGGGGAGCTTCCTGCAGCCTCCTTGTCAGCTGCCGCTCGGCCAGGAACTCCCCCTGCATTACCACGAGCTCTGCTCGCAAGGCCGCATTTTCCTCCTCCAGCTGGCTCTGAAGAGGGTTCATTCTCTCCTCAGGCTTTGCTGGCTGTGGGCCTTTCCCCTTGCCACTGTTAGGAACCTTGGGACCATCTCTCTTCTGCTTCTTTGGTGCCTGTATGTTAGGCCACAATAATATGAGCAAGAACTGAAATGAGGGCTTATAAGAATTACAACGTTTTGGAGCTCCTTTTTGAGCTGCGTAGATCGAATCAATATATGTTACAAGAATGATAGTGTCTTACTTCTTTCAGGACAGGATGGCGCCTGACGTTTATGTAATGAAAAGCTATTGAGTATGCGTAAACAGCATCCTTACGACACCTAACAGAAAAAAGATGCCTGCGCACTCGGCAAAGTTTGAGAGCCGGTCAATGCAATCCACAAGCCAACGACATAGCGGAGCTTAGAACAATCAACCGGCAGCTGAAAGTGACTTTCCCTGCCTTCTGCGATATTGTACATTTTCTTGACTACTCGTCATGTGCCCTCATCAATTGCATGACGACAACAGCGGAAAGATGCCAGCTTCCAAGGCGGAGGCACTGGACACTACCATCTTTTTGTTGTTGTACATACATATTTGGTAAGGTTGCATGAAAAGTAGCCAAGACAATGTAAAACATGGCTTGGGGGGCGGGGGGGGGGGGGAG